TGTAGTAATTTTTTTCTAAAAGATAGTCACAGTGTACTTGTTTGGAGGAAAGTTTAAAACCTTCAAAAATGTCTCAAGCTAATTTATTTTTCATCAAAGAACTGAGTCCTCAGTCAGAAATACTTCCAGAATAAAATAAACTATAAAGGCCTATTATGAAATTAAATATGCACACTCGAGCTACGTCCATTTACTGCATATCGGGGTTATAAGCAAAATAACAGAAAATTAAATATCGGTAGAAAATAATTTTAAGCGCGTTCACATCCCTGCGGACTGTTTATTAAAACAGCTCCGGACGTCTGTCAGTTTTTCCGTACATACGAAGAAACACGAGAAGTGATAAACCGATGTTATGTTGATTAAACCTATATCTTACATTGGAGATATTTATGAAATGTTGTAGAGCCATTGGAATGTTAATTTAGATCGGACAATTTTAACGACCACACTGCAGAACAGCAAAAATTATTTTACCTTAATTCATTATAAAAAGAATTATATTCGTCAGCACTACAGCTTATTATATTACCCTCGGTATCCTAGCAGCAAAGTGTTGTAACGTAATGAATTCTAATATTTTTGCCTTTTCCCCTGAATTATACTACGTCGTTCCGATATTGATGCAGTCAATAAAAATAATCAAATTTGCTCTCCTTTGCACCCGACGATTCAAGTCCCACCTCCGTACAACTTTCGTAACACTATTAAATCTGTGAAAAAAATATCCGAAACCCTCTACTTTCATCTGAGGGAAAAATCAGAATAGAAGCAGTTGGCATGGTCGCAGGTACTATGGTGCAAACTGACATTTGCAAAAGTCATAGGTCAAATTCTGGCGAAAGCTATGCGTACATTTCCCAGCTTCTAACGAATTAACTTCATGCTAATGTAGACTACATGAATGTTCTGTCTTTCATTCTGATTATTTCTTGGTTTGTTTAAGGATGTTTTATAAATTGCATGCGTTTTTTGTGTCGAAAAGCAGGATATACATTACAGTTGGTTTGCGAATAACTTGAAGCGAGTCGTGGCACAGTTTAAGGTCTTATAAAAACATTTCGTGGAGAGACCGAGTAAAAGAATAGAACTGAAGACAGCCGACATCGAGACCGAAATTTGAAATTCGGACACTTCCGAATATGATCCAGGAGTACCAACTGTTAGAAACACGATGTTCTGAGAGTTCGTATAAGACTACTCTTTATCTGATTCCTTGTAATTGCAAAATATTAGAAGTAAAAGTTGTGCACATTAATTACCTCCTATGGTGTGTATTAGTGTGCAAACATGGCCTATTTTTTCGATAAGCACTTTTAAAAAAATTGCAGGCCTATATATCTTTTATTCAACCTATACAACACAAAAGACTGCAAGCAAGCAACAAATTGCTTTTTGCTAAATAAGCCTGAGTTCACAAGAGACTTAGTCACATTACACGGACCTGTTTCATGTCTTGAGACCACTTCATCAACCATGTGCCTTGCTGGTCACCAGATTACAAAACCCAAAGCGAAACCAGACTTCATATTTTCATGGAAACAATCCAAACGGCAGACCGAATATAAATTCTTCTGACATTTGCATGTCGCATTCCGGTTGAGGGCACTTATAAGTGCGAGCGAGACTCCGAGAGGTAGAGCAACAAGATTAACGAAATTCTACAAAGTCTGTCGTTTCTAAAAGAGTGGATGTTAAAACCCGCGCTACAAAAGGGTTGATACAGAAAAAGAACACAGATCTGTGAAATAAAGACTACCAATAAGGTTGTGCATTTCGTCTGATTTGGCGTCTGAATGCTTTGTTTTGACAGAATTTATGATATGTCAGTGACAAGATGGACCAAATAAAGTCTCTCCCACCTTAATCCAACTTCCACAAGGGAGAGTGTGACGATCGAATCATGTCAGCGTCATCATTAATCCTGCCATTGAGATACTACTACCAGAATATGAAGTTATGTAACTCCAAGGAGCAGGGCCCGTCTTCAGAAACTGACAGTCGCTAACCTGGTAAAAACCTTGCCTATAAATGAACAAAAACGTCCATTATATATTATATAACTCCAATTCCCACACAAAAAAAAATCTGCAAAATCAGGTACGGAAACAGTTCACATCACCGTGACCTAACCTGAACTGGCCTGACTGACCTTACCTAAACTAAACTGACCTTAATAAGCTACCCAAACGTAAACCACTCCCACCCTAACCCAACCCAAACTAACCGAAAGTAATTTAGCCTAACCTACACTAATCTAACCAAACCAAACCTAGCCTAACCTACCATCACCTAATCAGACGTAACCCGACCTCATCTGACCTCGACTGACCTAACCTAACCAAAAATTACCGAATAATGACTAATCAGTCAACCTGATCACACCTCACCTTACCTAACCTTCCCCAACCTAACCTAACTAAACCTAACCTAGCTTCTAATAACCTTACATTATCCAACCACACCTGACGCAGCCTAACCTAATCAAACCAAATCTAACCAACCTAATCGAATCTAAGTGTGTTATTTGCGTTATCAGCCATGCGTGAGTGTTGCAACAGGAAAATCCCTGTTGGGGTTCCCGCATAAAAATGGTCACAAACGAAGCCAATTGGAGATCGTCAGTATTTGTGGAAAGCAGGAAGTTTCCCATACCTGGAATTCCCCATCTGCCACTTCCGTGCACAGGTACACATGTCGGTCTTCAAAAATGTGCCGGTTTCAATCGCCCGATTTGCTGCAATCGATGATATGAAGATTTTCATCAGTCCGTGAGAAGTGTCCTAGCTCTATATCCACTCCAGAAACGTATTCAAAAGAAATAGACGCCATATTTAGTCAAATGTAAAACCCGATAAAATACTCAAGCGACTATGGATTCCAGTGCTTCCATCTAGCAGTAGACGTCGTACCACAAGCGCGAACTCAAAAAACAAACTGGTGCTACTCTCTGGGGACTAATTTAGTAATTACCTGGCCATTCTCATGCGTCTGTCGCGTCAGGTTGGACAATAAGGCGGGATCGCACGGAGAAGGTGCGCATTCACCTAGTATTTATTGTGCTAATAATGAAGACGTGGACACAGGATGGTAGAAAACAGTGAAGTGCAACGAATGAAGATTGTAAGGTATGTTGTTTTCTTTCTTCAAGCAAAGGAATTATATCAAGTTATTGTACTGCGATTTTGACGCTCAGCAATGTCTGACGTAAGGATCAAACCTCCCCCTTCTTATCCACATCACAGCATGCACTCTATGACGTCAAATCGCTCTTCTACAAGACTATACCACACGCTCTTGTGAGAAGCAGTGCCAGTGCATGTGCATCACAATTTGGCTGCACAAATGAAGAGATTCGTATATAGTAATAGTTTGCCTACTTGTATCGCTCTACACAATGGTTTTCTTCAGCTTACTGTATGAGTGTTACAAGCAGAGTGACAGCAAATATTACCTTGTTACAATTACTACACACAAAATAGCATATATGACTTCAGCATTAAGCAACATATGCATTATGAAATGTTGTAAGCAATTAAATATGGTTTCAGTTCATGTATGTTTAAATTTGTGAGTGCTGTAGACAAATGTAAAACTGTAGGACTAACTAACTAGATGGATTACCGAACCCGAAGGTTCATCACCGAATTAACCAAAGCCCTCCACCGGACCCTGTCCTGGGCCAACAAAATCCAGTCTCCTTCAACTCTTATCTCCCATAGATCCCGCCTGACATTATCCTCCCATCTACCTCTAGGTCTCCCCAGCGGTCTCTTCCCCTCAGGCTGTAGGACTATTACAGAAATATAAATGTAAAGTTATTACTGCAACAAATTTATTGAACATACTGCAAGTGTATTTAGAGGGTTTTGATTTACCTGAATTATTTAAATAACTAAAATACCGTTTCAGCCGCTTAATACGCGACAGCAAACAGACTGTGAATTTCGAGTGGGCTGTTCCTCCAGACAAATCTAAAAATGGTTTCTACTAATAATCATTCCTCTTTGTAATAATTCTTAATCAGTTAGCTGGCTCCTAGCTCTACTCTGAGAGAAAGTTTCCTTAAGTATCCAACAAGTTTGCAATATTATTATGACTTATTTGGCTGCGAATGCCTTCGAACAGAATGTAACAGTGGTTTCTGTTGTTTCTGGTTCCATGGCATCAGAATTAAGTTATAACAATTTTAGGCTCTTTCACGGTCCAAATTTATATTTTATAAGAATTTACATTTTTAAAATTTTCGATCACTTCGCATTTTCTATTTTAGAGTAAGAGTAATACAAGAGTATGACATGCCGCTGTTGGTGATCAAATCATTATGTTTGTAATGTGAGCATTTCAATAGTCCCGGAATTTAATTTAGTAGTCATCTAAAAATCACGCAACCCATTCCTGACATATTCTATTTATAAAAATAAATTACATTGAAATCAGAAAAAAGAAAGATATATTTAGCGCAGTAAATGCCCATCGCGTTCAGCGATGCATTCTCTTTTCCTCATGTTTGACACAACTCGATGAAGAGCTTCTGCAGTGACGTTTTAAACACACAGCAGAATCGGAAAATTATCCATGAACTCATTCTGGAAAGTTCAATACGAACGAGTTGCCAGGTAGTGCAAGACAATGAACACTCGTTGCACTTGCGAAAAGACATCCCTGCACGTCAACTGTTGAAATGCAACTGGCGGACTGGCGCGAGCAGGTTACAACACGACGTGACCTGCGTGGGCTCTTGTATATTCACAGCGATATGTGTGACTGTTAATTCAATCGAACTGCACTGAACTGCAGCCATCAATAAATATTTCAATACGGGCTGCGTGACTTATCTATCCTGAATTATTGTACGGCTGGTGGGGAGTGATCGGAGAGTAGTAGTACAGAACATGCCTGCCAGATACAGCTTTTCTGCAGTTCTTAAAATACGCATATCTTACGTGATTAACTTGTTCGCTTGCATCTAAAGATGCATATGTGTGACATTCACTTACATTGTTAGAAGCTGCGATGTCATGCCAGCAGGCAGTGAACTGAATGAAAACCTCTTCTCGCGAGGCACATCTGATGAGCTGCAACAAGAAACTATATTTGTATGTATGTATGTGCGTGCGTGCTTGTAGTTTTGTAGCAGTTTACATACGTTTCAGAAGCCCTCTCTGCCCTAACATCATCAGGGAGATTCTGAAACGTCGGTAAACTGCTACCAGACTACACGGCGCAACAACCCAGAAGACAGACATCTTCAGACTCACCGCCGTGAAAACAAATCATACAACACACAGTATATTTATATATGAATGTCTCAGTAAATTAAATATGTAAGGTGTCCTAAAACATGTATACACAAACTGAATTAATGGAACAAAGACAATTCAAGAAGCTAAACCATTCCATACGTCAGCATTGGTACTTTGTAATTGTTCAAAATGACCACCGTTAGTTTCGTGGCACAGTTGACGGGGGGGGGATTCCGTATGTGTGTTGACGGAATCTCTGCTTCCCTATACTTGCTAATAACGACAAAAGGATGCATGAAATTTGTATTATGTCACTGGTAAAGAATTTCGTGTATCCAGTGTACGTAACGCATCTGGCCTTGCTATTTTCTCTCCTTGACCCCCACCTCATGGTGCTTAGACGCAGCCACAGCTGGTGATAACAGAGATACAATGCAGAAAATTGTTACATAAATGAGGAAATGGGGAACTCCAAGGATAAGTCACCGCCCTGATGACGGAGACAGTAAACACCTCTGAAACGAGGGTGAACATCTACCAGACTACACGGCGCAATAACGCAGAAGTCATCTGCAACTTTATAATCCATGCTGGCGGTTTAAAGTCGAAAATCGGCATCATATTTATCTTTGCTTACATTACAACATTAGTGCCTCAAGTCAAGTATTTGTAAGCGCGGAGACGAAATGCATCCATGACAATTCCATCATCATTCTTATCACGTGGGTTGTCGAAAGCGTTCTTCGAAAGTCTTGAGGGCGGTATGCAATATAAATTAATCCTACGTTCACATAATTTGTAATGCACTGCGTCTTATGTAGACAGCTGGTCGGCCTAATTCCTACTAGGTACCACCAGCAAAGTTAAATTTAGCCGTACTTGTTAATTTCATAGATAGAAGAACGTAATTTTAATGTTATCAATAGGTCCATTGGATTTGTTGATAATTCTTTCACGAAAATAGCCCGCAGGGACAGATTGTACCTCTCTGTTATAGCTGGAACGATAACAGAATACTTTAATCATACAACGGGAAAATAGCGTATGTTTTGAATTTAATCCAGCTTTTCAGAGAAGATCCATAAAACCAACCTTTGTTATAAAGGTGATTTAGTTCGGAAGTTTCATAACACCGCACACAGTTTTAAGACTGGGAATGAATTTAATGTCGGAAAGGGTGAACTAAATTAATGTAATAAAGTTAAATTTAAATAGGCCTACTAAGATTTGCAACGTACCGATACAGAGTTCATTACCTCGTAACAAAATATTTATTTTCTAAATAAATTCAGCACTTCCAAATACTACCACTGCGCAGAAATGGGCCGACGTTGCAGTCAACTGCTACTTGTTCTGACGCAAGGCAAGCAAACGAAGGCCAGAAACGTAACGCTGTGTCGGAGATCCAATAAATCAAGACACACGATAATAAAGTTGAAAGCATCTCATTCGCGGATTAGATACAGTCCGCCCTCACAAACGTGGAATTTGTGTGGGTGAGGAGAAGGCAAATAAAAACATATCTTCTTCACTTAGACTTTCACACAGCAACATAAACATGTGGACGTATCTAAGATTGTACCTTACCAAGGTTATTTATTCCCGGTCTTTCTTATTTGTCTCATTCTACTATTATTTATTCGTTCTTATTATTATGTAAATATTAAAAAGACCAATGTCGTATTAACGTATACACTCATACATTTGTCATTTGAGACTGAGGAAGTCAGGGGCCACTTAAATGCTAGGTACAATAAATAGTTGACAAACTGCAGGCCAAAAGCTCCCTAGGGGAGGGTAAACAGTTTTCATGATTGGTATTGAGCCTATCCATTTTATGTCAGATTAAATATATTCACTAAGAGAACCCAGACTATGGATTTTTATGACAAAGTGTTCAGGAAGAAAGTTCGACCTACGGGAAATGAACAAAGGAATGGAGAATGTTGCACGATAAAGCGCTTCGTTATTTGACCAGAACGAAGACTCACTGCACTACACTGCACATTCTTCTTGTCTCATCGACATCAATGTCATTACTACAAAGCGCCCGGCATGTTACGTGGGGACACACGCGAGTACAACGCAAGTTTC